AAAAAAAAAATTCACATCAAAAATGTTCACGCCGATGTACTTGTTGGTGATGTACTGCGTTTCATTGACGCTTCACTATTGAATGCAAAATCTTTCGATTCGACTTTTCGTTCTTCTTTTTTTCGCTCACTCTCTATATGTGTTGGTTGGCGTTTTATGCACAACCATAAAATGCTTGGGATAGAAGAGACGAACAGCTGATTTTAGGTGGTGTCAAATGTTCGCGGTTGCGAATTGGAATGACCGAGAAATGGTTGGTGCTGCGATACCATGTGCGTCATTGAATGTTTCGCCTACAAGCGAATAACCATAAAATCAGTACACATTGAAAGTGGATAGAGCGCGGGTATATTGTTCTCAATTCTACTGCGGTTGACGCAATTTTCATTTCACTTCGGTTGAAACACTCATGCCTCGGTCCGTCAAATCGATTTCAACGAACTTGCACAGTCACATTTGACACATGGAACGAGCAACCGAAATGACAGTTCGTACATATGCACACATATACGTTCATACTCACACATACAGTCGGACGAGGCGAAAGAGAAAAACGTCAAAACAATTTATTATCAATACATTAATGTGCATATGAAAACAAATCGTGTTACTTAGAAGAAGAAAAAAAAAGTTCACATTTTTTGACGAGCAAAGAATGTGGTCAAGATCGTGTATTCTGTGAAAAATCTGAATGAAATGTCGTCGTTTACCGAAACATTTAATAACCGAGAGCCACCGTGTGTTACACGAGATGCAGCTTGGTCGCGAACACATCGTGATCTTCAAGCAACAGCGATGTCCATCGATTACTCTGGTCAATGGGTACGAATCAAGCTTTAATCACGTAAAAATTACTATTCCATTACTTAAGAATAGCTATCCATTCTTTCGATAGTTTTGCCATTAGTTCCATTATGTTCGATTACATGTTGATTAATTTACATTATTTCCATTTTTTCTTATGATCATGATGATCTCTAGGTACTTTTGGCTGGAAGGTACATCGAATTTTTTACAATTCATTCGTTTCTTATCATGAATGGAATTCTGAATGTATAATTTTTTTTTATGTTACAGACGACATTTGGCATTACAAAAACTCGACCCGGACCAAACGAATGATGATAACTTTCTACGGAAATACCATCGTAATTGAAAGTGTATAATGCATTAAATTGAAGGAAATTGACATGATTTTATATTCGAATAGGTAATTCAAAACACGAAATAACGGCGGCTGAATGGGCGATTTGTGATGAATCACAGGAATATTGTGCGATTGCAACGAGTCAACTTATTGAAGTGGTGACTTGGCGATCGGGCGATCCGAACCTAATCCATTCCCTACGTGCACACACGAGGGTTATCACGGACATTGACTGGCATTCAAAAACACCGTATTTACTGGCCAGCTGTTCTATCGACACATTTACACATTTATGGGATTTGCGAGATCCGAAAAAACCTACCATGTCATTGAGCGCCGTTTGCATGTGTAAAATATTTAAAAAAACAATAGTCTCTATGGTGTAATGCAAAATGACTCACTTTATTGTAGCCGGAGCCACGCAAGTTGGATTCAATCGAGTATCGGGAAATCTATTGGCCACAGCTCACGATGGCGATTTAAGGATATGGGATGTACGCAAAGGTGCGTGTCCAATTCAGTATATCACAGCGCACTTGGCTAGGTAAAATAAACTTTTTTTTAAAATAAATTTTGATTATTAGTATATTTCAATTCATTTTTTATTTATTTGCATGAAGAATTCACGGAATAAATTGGAGCCATAAACAAGAGACACACCTTACGACGGCCAGTCAAGATGGTACGGTGAAATATTTTTGTATCAACAATCCGAGACGAGCAGAAAAAATCATAACAACATCATCACCAGTTTGGCGAGCGCGATACACTGTAACCACATTTTACATTTAGTTCAAACTTATTGCAATGAACTCTGTTTAATCACAGGCTTCAATTGATTCGATTTATTAAATCAAAAATTTAATTGGCATTCATTTAATTAACGGTTGACATAAATTTCCACTTAATAATTGCAGCCATTTTCCGACGGTTTGGTAACTGTAATAGTTCCTAATTTGGGTCGAGGTGAGAATAGTTTGTTGCTGTGGAATAATGCACGACAAAGTGCGCCGATTTGCTCCTTCACAGGCCACAGTGATGTTATCCTAGATTTTTCATGGCGACCAAATCGACATTATGATAACACTGACATGGTATAATTATCATTTTCTTCTCAATCAAAGCAAAAAAATGCAAATATTCATTTTAATAGGAACTGGTGACATGGTCACGAGATCAGACATTACGCGTATGGAATGTTGATGAAACGATACAAAAGATGTGTGAACCAGAAACTCCGGATGAAGAAGGTTATTACTTAAACAAATCGTCTGAAAATATTTTAAAAAAAATAATCTTTTGTTTTTCATTTTAAATTATAGAATCAGTTTCAACTGATATTCTCTTTGATGGGATTCCAATCAAGCCTAAATCAGTTCTGTCAAAACCAAATAGCCTACCAACAAATCAGCATCAATCAATACCAACATTACAAACCGAAATAACAAAGCCAATGCCAAAATTTTCATTGCAACATGAATTCTCGTTGCTTAACACAAATATTCCACACATCGATGTTGAGGTGCTCGATGCAGTGAAACGGCATGCCATGATCCGTATATCAGTCAACGGGCATGTCATTATGTTACAAGTTGTTTTTCCTGAAAATTATCCACATGTTGACTATCCACCGGATTTTATTTATTGTCAAGGCACCTCGATAGATGACAATTTGGCAGAGTCATTGAATGAAGTTTTGAAATTGAATGCACAAAATCGATTGCGGAAAGGAAAAACATGCTTGGAACAATGTTTAAGGGCATTGGTTACTACATTGAAAAAGGTTCGATGCTAACTGCTTCATACGACTGAATTTAACAAATTTTTCTATTATATTTATTAGATAACCAGCACCGGCGATAAATCTTATCTTCGATTGCAATCACCAAGATTGGAAGGTGCATTAAGCGGTGCACTGCACGATGCATGCGTTCCTTTTCCAAAAACATGCGGTAAACATATAATATTCGAATTGAATCGAATGCCAATAACGATTGTTTTATTTATTTTAGGTGCACGATTTTGCCAAGTTGGAATTTTGGTCACATTCATTCAGCC